TTTATCGTTGTTATCAGATTATGTACAATGTAATTCATTGTAAAATTTGTCATGTTATCATTTTTGTGTATCACTGTATACTAATTAACTGTTTTCATTTGTAGAGCAAAGATGCAGTTACACATCAGAGGTGAACACACGACTGTTGTCGAGTCGCATGAAAATGAGACTATTGCAGAAATAAAGGTATGGTAAAAAAATTGAATTATACTTAAAAATTTCAGAAAAACTGATGGTAGATCAATACATACAGTGGATAAAGAAAAATATTAAACTGTAAGGAATAAAAACTGTTTCAATATTATTCCTTATATATAATTTATACATTTTAAAACGCTTTCAAGCAATTTAAAAATATTTGAAAAAAGTTGTGGAAATATTGCACATTTGATAAATAAATAAATAAATTAATAAATAAATATATATATATATATATATATATATATATATATATATAAAAATAATGTTATATGCGTTGAATAGATAACCTATATGCAGCAAAAATCTGCTTTTAGGAGGAGCAAGAACGCAATATAAAACTACAAATTAATGAGCTGGCAATCTAACGAATATTTGTTGATTACCATTCGCAAAATTTGTTAACAAATATTATATGAAAGAAAAATTCAGTTTTCTTTTATCAAAAATATATCGTATTATAAAAACATGGCACATTTATTTTTTAGAATAAAATTATGCAGCTGGAGGCAGCAGCGAATCTAGATTTCAATCTATATTGTTCAGGACGTCTATTATCGAATGAAGATGTAGTTGGAGAACTTGCATCAAATTCTTTAGAATTAACAGTTTCTCTTCCTGGTGGTAAGCTCTTTGTTTACATAGACTAGTTTTACCATATTGTTACTCATTTAATTCATTTATGTTGTGTTATACTAATAAATATATATATATATAATAGTAATAGTATTAATGAAATTATTAAAATATTTCAGGTAAAGTGCACGGGTCTCTAGCTCGTGCTGGCAAAGTAAAAGCTCAAACCCCAAAGGTAATCGAGTCATAGCTTATTATTAAAATCGTAGTTGCATAATATTCTTTTGAATTTAATTTGCAATATTTTTATTATATTCTCTAAATACTTTGTATTCGTTGTACAGGTTGAGAAGCAGGAAAAGAGTAAAAAGAAGACTGGGAGAGCTAAAAGACGAATTCAATACAACCGAAGATTTGTCAATGTTGTTCAAACTTACGGCCGGCGACGTGGACCAAATGCTAATCCTAACTCGTAATTGTATATACATATACATGTTTTCTGATCATGAAAATAAATTGAAAAGCTAAATGCGATGAGTTGTCATTTGTTACGATTAAGCGTACTTGTAAGTTCTGTTAGATCGATGCGAATATCGCGTTACGTGTTCTCGTTCTCGATATTATTTGTACGACGCAGATTAATTGCAAGTTTTATTCGTTAACTGACCATTCAATTTAGGTAGAGTCCGCTGTCGTAGCAGATTCTTGTTTGTTTTATTCGAAGTGAGAAAATCCTTTCAATCTATAATCTCTTTTACAATCTCGCCACTTTAGTTTTCTCCTTGTATACAACTAGAAAATTTGTCATCATGTACTCTATGTTACTCTTGTACTCATTGTACTCTATGTCATAAACTATTGACTAAATAAAAAATACGAAAATATAACTTTTAATATAATTTTTCCCTTAACCTTGACACAACACGCTTATATATATATATATATGTATACATGTGGTATAAACTTCTGGTCAGCTTGTAACATTATCTTCTTATATATCATCATCATCATTAAATCATTATATTATAATCTGTATTCCTTTAGTTTTCTAGCTTATTTGTACTATATAGTTTACTCTTAGTCTTATCACGTTTCCGTTTCTTTTGACTTTTGACTTTTTCCTTATTTGGGTCTGGTAGATACCTACTTATTGACTTATCGTACCGCAGCGTTTTCTAACAGAGTCGGTAATTCAGCACTTGAGACAAAAAAAAGAAAGCATTGCATGCAATGTTCGTGGATTTTGGTTGAATTTCTACGTCGTTACGACAGTTACCATGGTAGACGAAAATTCCTAAGACGATTTGTCTATTCTGTAGCTCGTCTGTGGTTTAACAAGTTTGCGCAGTGCACGAAGCTTCGTGCGGATGATGATTCGTACGGTTGCCGTTCGAGGGCGCCACCGTTCAGTTTTCTCGCTTTGGGAGGCTTTATTTCTTAATCGTACCGTACACAATTTCGAAATTACACGTGTCATCGATATTTCTGCATCGGTAAATTAATTTGAAATATTTTGTTATCTTCTCGGAGAACCTATATTATATCGTAAATTATATTATCAGCGACATTCGCCAACGTACGTCCTCGAAGTACGTATCTCGATTTTCTCTATCTCTACGGAGTATGTACAAGGGATGAAGAGCAGCGTCGACTCGATTTTTTTTCTCGGATGTCAGTTGTATAAGAAAGGCTGGTTGCGTCGGTGATGTTTTATCGACTAATAAGATGTTGAAAGCTCGACGTTGCGTGGCAGACGCTTGTAACTCGGTTCACTTAATCGACTCCGTTTCCTAATATATTATCTCGTTATCGCAGCCGTACGGGCTGATGATTCAGTGGCGTGCAAGAAGTCATATCCACGTAACACAGTTGCTAGGAAGTGCACGAAAAATGAACCGATTTAGCAATATTTTATTACAGTCCAATTTTTTTCAGCCTAGAACCACGATCACGATCGACCCACCGCAGTTCGAAGTCGCCGTCGATCGAGTTTAACCGAACTATTCGCGAATATTAATATTTGATATATTTGGCACAATTACGACTATTGGTAAAGTATGCGATCCGCGTACGTCGCATGCTCGAATACTTGGTAGAACTCTGACGCGTATCGACGAAAAAATGCGCCAACAACATCTCGGGCACGGTTTTCGGTCGTAACCCGCTCGAAACCCGCTGGATCGCGATTCCGTCTTCGGCACGCGGGATTTAAGCGAGTTCTTAACGAGCTTTCGGTTACAGTTATCTGTCGGGGACCGGCTAATACCCGGGTTGGCCACTTTCGATAAAAAGTTCGCTGCCGGGCCCCTGGGCGTGGGGGGGGGGGGGGGGCCCCCCC